GAGAATGTGAAATGACTTCAAGGTTATTGGCCGCATCGGAGATTTGAATGAAATTTGGCGTAGCGGTTGGCCATTGTAGAAACAATGCTCTTGTTGTGAAAAAGGTTTTTGTTTATTTTAGGTGTTTTTATTGGGGAGTTTGTGTGCTTAGGTGTTAAAGAAAGGGGTTCAACTGTGGATCTTAGGTGTAAAAAATTCATGTATTAACAAGTTTCATTTATTTTAGGTGTTTCTATTGTGGAGTTTAGGGATTAAAGAAAGGTGTTTTCATTGTGGAGTTTAGGGGTTAAAGAAAGGTATTTTTATTGTAGAGTTTAGGTGTTAAAAATTCATGTATTAACAAGTTTCATTTATTTTAATTGTTTCATTTGTGAAGTTTAAGGGTTGAAGAAAGGTGTTTTTATTGTGGAGTTTAGGGGTTAAAGAAAGGTATTTTTATTGTAGAGTTTAGATGTAACAGATTCATATATTAACAAGATTCATTTATTTTAATTGTTTCATTTGTGAAGTTTAAGGGTTGAAGAAAGGTGTTTTTATTGTGGAGTTCAGGGGTTAAAGAAAGGTGCTTTTATTGTGGAGTTTAAGTGTTAAAAACAGCTGTTTTCATTGTGGGGTGTAAAAAATTCATGTGTTACCAAGTTCCGTTTATTTTAATTGCTCTATTTGTGGAGTTTAAGTGTTAAAGAAAGGTGTCTTTATTGTAGAGTTTAGGTGTTAAAAATTCATGTATTAACAAGTTTCATTTATTTTAGGTGTTTCTATTGTGAAGTTTAGGGGTTAAAGAAAGCTGTATTTATTGTGGAGTACAGGGGTTAGAGATATGTATTTTTATTGTGAATTTAGGTGTTACAGACAGGTGTTTTCATTATAGAGGTGTAAAAAATTCACGTATTAACAAATTTGGTTTATTTTAATTGCATTATTTGTGGAGTTTAAGTCTTAAAGGAATGCGTTTTTATTGTGGAGTTTAGGTGTTAAAAATTCACGTGTTAATAAGTTTCATTTTAATTGTTTCATTTGTGAAGTTTAAGGGTTGAAGAAGGTGTTTTTATTGTCGAGTTCGTGTAATATAGAGAAAAATCTATCTAAACAACGCAGGAGAGTGGAAGCTAATCACTCAGGAGTAATTATAACAAATAAAATCAGAATGAAATTTTAAAGTGCGTATTTAAAGTGACAGTAAATAGATCGACTAAATTGTTTTAACATATCAGTTGTATCAGCGACTTTAATATTGAACACATGAATATAAAAAATTCTTTGAAATAATTAATTAAAATATTATTTTCACATTTTTTAAATTAAATATTCAGGTATTACATTTTAACGTGGAATTTTATTCTGCAAATTCCTGATAATTTAAATTACTTTTATCTTCTACATAATCTACCTTGGTATTCCTTTAATAATTTTCATTTAGTTCAAAATTAATTCAATTTTCTACACTGAAGGATAAGACGATATGATAATTTGTGTACCCTGTTATTCATTGGTGTTATTATTTCCGTCTTGCTTTATCACGTTATCGCACAGGGGTTTTTAAACGAATGTACACTAAACAGTGCCCTAAAATTTACATAAATTCTTGGTAAACAGTAATTTTAAAAAAATTGCAATATTTGT